TTTTGCAAACTCAGCCATCTTTCTAAGATTTGAAAACTTAAATGATATTTCTAAATGATATTTCGGGCTGAGAACTACTGTTTTACAAATGCCCAAGGGGCTTATGATGATTTCTGGACTGAGCATGGATCGGGCTGCGCGTCGCAGCAGTGTTATACTGATATCGTGGCTGAGAGCCTGGTTGATTACATTGATATTGAGGTCGAGAGCCTGGGTGATTATATTGATATTGATATGAGGCCGAAGGCCTAGATTTGATGCCACGAGATGGCTTGATATTGCGCTTGGGCTGTAGGATCCCCTCCGGAGTCTGTACACACCCCTAGTGAGCGCCGTCGATGATAAATAAATGGATGGCTCGGGCTGCACACCGTATTGGGTACTAGAGTGTACCATCATATGCATTGCATTGCAATCATGCATTTGTTTTTATCTGTTATACCTGTCTTAGTATTTGGTACTCTGACTTAATTGACTTGTTGCTTCACTATTTGTTGTTCTAAACTGCCAGTTATAGTTTACTTTGTATTTTTCCATGATTTCTTATTCTCAGCCTTTATTTATGTTTATTACTCACTGGGTCGGAGTACTCACATTACTCCCTGCACCTTGCGTGCAGATCCAGGTACACCACAGGCTGAGTGAGGATTTGTTTAGCTGAACAGCAGTATCCGGGAGTATTGAGGTAGCTGCATGGCATTCGCAGCCTTGATCTCTCCCCTCTATCTCTATCTTTTATTCCGTATTTTTCCTAGAAAAACTTGTAATAGGTGGATATTCTGCATTAGAGGCTCATATTCGTGACACCGGATTCTGTTAGGCTAAGGTGTGGTATTTTAATTGAACTTCCGCAGATTTTATTATTAATTATACACTTGAATGTAATGACTTAGTAAATTCTATGTGATATTTATCTATAATCTGAATAAGAATTTGGGATAATGTTGTTGAATGGTCGGGCTTGCCTAGCAGTGTGTTGGGCGCCATCATGACNGTTGGGCTCCATCATGACTGGGGTTGGGGTTGTGACAAGTTGGTACCAGAGCCTAGGTTACTTGGTCTCGCGAGTCATAAGACGGTTTAGTAGAGTCTCGCGGATCGGTACGGAGACGTCTGTATTTATCCTCGAGAGGCTGCAGAACCTTTAGAAAAACTTCACATTCTTGAATTCTTATCGTGCGTCCTTGATTCATCTTGAAAAAAAACTTTTGAAATTCCTTCCACGCATTTGTATGCGCGCATGGGCGCTCAGTATCAGATGTGCCTCGATGGCTTGTGATTCCCCGATTGAGGGGTGAGGTGTTACTTCTGTGAATTTATGGTGGGCCAGTCTAGAGGACTTGAGGTTGGATCTTTGCCTATGGCGGGAGCGCCGAGGTGCTGATTGTGTGAACAAGTGTTTTTGAACTTATATGTTTGGTAGTGTCCCTGTTAGTGGAAATGATAGTTGTGGCTATGTGATGAGTATGTTAGTACTGCGAGGCGTATCTATATGACTTAGAAGTGACGAGGAAGGGCGGTAGGATGATAGATGAACTATTAAGTGTTTGATTTTCATTGTGATTAGATGTGTAGCCCCGAGCTATGGGCGCGTGGAGAATCTTTTCATGTCTCCTATTTGGAGTGAAGTAAATTTCATGTTACAGTGTGAGTTTAGACTCAGGAAGATTAAGTGATTGTGTAATGTGTATGACCGTGAAAGGTATACAAAAATATTAATTGGAGGTGAAGCAAGTGGGTTATCTCCTAAGGAGTGTTCTAAGGTGGTGTGATCCTTATGTTGTCTATTAGAAGATCTCATTTACAAGTGAAGAATATGCATTGAAATCTAAATTGGGCCGCCTAAAGAGTGGGCTTAACTGTTGTGTGAGTGAATGCAAGAATTGCAGAAGAGTTAAAATTCCAGATGATTCGTGTTTCTACAAGCTTATGAAGGAGTGAGTTTAATCTCACTATGGTATTACGACAACAATAGAGTATATGTGTTGTGAATTATTGAGTGCGTTTTGATCTATGGCTTTGAGCCAAGTTGGGGAGTTTGCTATTAATTAAGTTGATTGCACGGTTATGTGCTATATTGGTTCCAGTTTGAGGTGTGTTGGTAAGTCAGTTATGGCTTACGGAGATTTAAAGTCGATCAGGCGGTGGCCGGGCCGTTTTTATGTTATTCCAGGAAGGACAGATGATATTGCTTCAGATGATGTCATTATAGGAATTGTTCCAGTCTGCCACAGAAATGCCTTTGTATTATTCGATCCCGGTTCCACCTCTTCTTATGTGTCCTCATATTTTGCTCATCATTTGGGTACGACCCGAGGGTGTCTTGCTTTACTCGTGCACGTATCTACCCCGGTGGGTGATACCATTATTGTAGACCATGTGTATCGGTCTTGTATTGTGACTATTGGGGGTCTGGAGACCCGAGTTGATTTATTGTTGTTGAGCATGGTAGATTTTGATGTTATTATATGGATGGATTGGCTATATCTGTGTCATGCTATTCTAGACTGTCATGCTAAGACAGCTACTTTGGCTATTCCGGGTGTTCCGAGGATCGAGTGGCATGGTATGACTGATTATGTTCCTAGCAGAGTAATTTCCCTCTTGAAATCCCAGCGTATGGTTGGGAAGGGTTGTCTATCGTATCTAGCTTTTGTGCTAGATGTTGGAGCTGAGACTCCTAGTATTGATTCTATCCTAGTTGTGAGGGATTTTCCTGATGTATTTCCTGCAGACCTGCCGGGCATACCGCCGGATAGGGAATATCGATTTTGGCATTGACTTGGTGTCGGGCACCCAGCCCATTTCTATTTCGCCATATCGTATGGCACCAGCAGAGTTGAAAGAATTGAAGGAGCAGCTTCAGGAGCTCCTAGACAAGGGGTTCATTCGGCCTAGTGTGTCACCGTGGGGTGCGCCAGTTCTGTTTGTGAAGAAGAAAGATGGCACAATGAGAATGTGCATTGACTACAGGCAGTTAAATAAGGTAACAGTGAAGAACAAGTATCCTTTACCTCGCATTGATGACTTATTTGATCCGCTTCAGGGAGCGAGTGTGTTTTCAAAAATTGATCTCCGTTCGGGCTATCACCAGTTAAAAATTAGGGACTCGGATATTCTTAAGACAGCTTTCAAGACTAGATATGGTCACTATGAGTTTCTAGTCATGTCTTTCGGGCTGACCAATGCCCCAGCAGCGTTCATACATTTGATGAACAGTATATTTCGGCCTTATCTAGATTCTTTTGTTATTGTATTTATTGATGACATTCTGGTGTACTCGCGTAGCCAGGAGGAGCACGTCAAGCATTTGCGTGTGGTATTGCAGAGATTGAGGGAGGAGAAGCTTTATGCAAAATTCTCCAATTGTGAATTTTGGCTAAGTTCTGTGGCATTCTTGGGACACATAGTGTCCAGCAAGGGTATTCAGGTTGATCCAAAGAAGATAGAAGCAGTGCAGAGTTGGTCTAGACCGTCCTTAGCCGCAGAGATCCATAGTTTTCTCGGATTAGCAGGCTATTATCGCCGGTTTGTTCAGGGGTTTTCATCCATTGCGTCGCCCTTGACCAAGTTGACTCAGAAAGGTGCTCCATTTTTATGGTCAGACAAGTGTAAGGAGAGATTTCAGAAGCTCAAGACAGTTTTGACCACAACTCCAGTATTGGTTTTACCATCAACTACAGGTTCATATACTGTATATTGTGATGCTTCGAGAGTTGGGATTGGCTGTGTGTTGATGCAGGAGGGTAGAGTTATTGCTTATGCTTCTCGTCAGTTAAAGCCCCATGAGAAGAACTACCCTGTTCATGACTTAGAGTTGGCTGCTATAGTTCATGCCTTGAAGATTTGAAGGCACTATTTATATGGCATATCTTGCGAGGTATTCACTGATCATCGCAGTCTTCAGTATTTGTTTAAGCAGAAAGACCTTAATTTGAGGCAGCGGAGGTGGCTTGAGTTGCTAAAAGATTATGACATCACTATTTTGTATCATCCGGGAAAGGCCAATGTAGTGACAGATGCCTTAAGCCGAAAGGCAGTCAGTATAGGTAGTTTGGCGTACATTCCAGTTGGGGAGAGGCCCTTTGCAGTTGATGTTCAAACCTTGGCTAATCGGTTTGTGAGACTGGACATTTCTGAGCCCAGTGGGTACTAGAGTATACCATCATATGCATTGCATTGCACTCATGCATTTGTTTTTATCTGTTATACATGTCTCAGTATTTGGTACTCTGACTTAATTGACTTGTTGTTTCACTATTTGTTATTCTAAACTGCCAGTTATAGTTTACTTTGTATTTTTCCATGATTTCTTATTCTCAACCTTTATTTATGTTTATTACTCACTGGGTCGGAGTACTCACATTACTCTCTGCACCTTGCGTGCAGATCCAGGTACACCACAGGCTAAGTGAGGAATTGTTTAGCTGAGCAGGAAGTATCCGGGAGTATTGAGGTAGCTGCATGGCGTTCGCAGCCTTGATATCTCCCCTCTATCTCTATCTTTTATTCCGTATTTTTCCTAGACAGACTTGTAATAGGTAGATATTTTGTATTAGAGGCTCATATTCGTGACACCGGATTCTGTTGGGCTATGGTGTGGTATTTTAATTGAACTTCCGCAGATTTTATTATTAATTATACACTTGAATGTAATGACTTAGTAAATTTTATGTGATATTTATCTATAATCTGAATAAGAATTTGGTATAATGTTGTTAAATGGTCGGGCTTGCCTAGCAGTGTGTTGGGCGCCATCATGACCGGGGTTGGGGTTGTGACAGTACGTGAATTATAATAAATTTTGTTAATATTGTAAAGATTGAAATACATATTTTAAAAATATGTATGCAATTGCCTTTACAGGACATATATTGCCAATAGCATATGGTGTTATTGATTCAAAGAACGATGCTGCTTGGACGTGGTTCTTTGAGCAATTCAAGATAGCATACGGTGACAGGGAAAACATGTGCATCGTTTCAGGTAGAAATGAGAGTATCATTAAATCTGTATCGAGAGTGTATCCAGATGTACCGCATTTTGCATGTGTATGGCATCTATGGAACAACGTATATAAGAAATTCAAAAAGAGCCATGCAAAGTTGAGCGAGATATACTTCTCGATGGCAAAAACATACACACAAGCTGAATTTGACTGTTTGATGGAGAAGGTGGAGAAGGTAGATATTAGGGTGAAAGAATACTTGGAGTTAGCTGGATACGAAAAGTGGGCTAGGTTGTATGCACCTGTTAACAGGGGATGGACCATGACGTCAAATATTGCTGAGTAAATCAATGTCGCACTAGTGTCAGCAAGGGAATTGCCAATACATGACTTCCTCGAAGAAGTTAGGAAGCTGTTTGGACGTTGAAATTACAGTAACCGCAAAGAAGCTGCACAGATTTACACAACGCTTGGAAAAAAAATACCAGGAGATGCTGACTTTGAATGAGGCAATGTCTACACACATGACTGTAAGTTTTATTTTAATGTCATTGTATCATATATTTAGTTCTTTCTTTAGATAGCTTAATATTTTCTGAAATAATTTATACCTTTTTTAGATAAATGTATTCAATTGTATTATCATGCAAAGTCTTATAATGTTTTTGTTTCTTTTCAGCTGCCTAAAGTTAACCAGATTTTAGATGTATAATAATGTATTTATAAGCTAAGACGTAATTATAGTTTATAGTATGTCGGTCTACATAAATGATGTATTCTTCTGTATTCAAACATTTCAGTTGTATTTAACTGAATAATTCTGCATTATACATATAAAAATTCATTTGTTTAAGTGAAATAATTATGCATTATACATTTATGATGAATTATTTAACTTAATAATTCTGCATTATACATACAGAAATATGTTTGTGTTCAATACATATTTTATTTAATTCATACTGTTGTATATTTAATACGTCTATTCTATGGTATATAAATTAATTTATTTGTTTATATGTGCGCAAAACTTATAGGTCTATGTTTAAATGTAGATGGTATCATCGACTGAATACTTATATACGGTTACTGATGAATGGGGGAATTACACCGTCTGCATGTTAGAGAAAAAATGCGTTTGCGGGAGGTTCCAAATTGATGAGTTACCATGCCCACATGTTTGGGCTGTATTGAAGAGCAAGTTTCTAATACCAGAAGATTATTGCTCTAACTATTACAAACCAAATTCTATTGTAATGACATACGATGTGCCTGTGTACCCGCTACCAGACAGAAATGAATGGAATATACCAGCACATGTTGCAGAGGAAGTTGTATTGCCACCCAAATGGAAAAGACCTCCTGGAAGGCCAAAGAAGAAGCGCGATAAACCTTTCAGTGAATTGCTGCAGCCGAAAAATTAACATTCATGTAGCATATGTGGGCAGGGAGGACATAATAAGCGAACGTGTAAAATTGCTCCACGTAGGATTTAGTTAACACTCTGACATGTATTAGTGCTCTAACGATTTGTCATTACTTCCGATGAAATTGTGAAATAATACATTTTGAACCTTTTCGTGAATAGATTCTGGATATAGTTAGTTGTAGTATTGTGTTGAATACATTCGAATACAACCTTTCAACAGATACTTAGACAATCTATTATAGACAGTGGATGAGTTGTATATACATAACCAACCACAATACATCTGAATACAACTATATACTCAGCTATAATATAACAATTTCAATAAATACATATACAATCTGCTGAATATATAATTATAGCAATTGTATTATTCAGTCTCTGATTTGGATATACAATACACACATGAGGAGCTGATTACATACTAATATACAAAGTTGAATACATACAAAAATACAAATTGTCTTATACATTGTGTCTACCTTGACTATACAAATCAAATCAAATAAATACAATTACTTAAAGATTTGTATAATTATGAATATAACTTGCTTAAGTAAAATAAATACATCAAGTTGAGTACATGCATATAAACCTGTAACATACAGTTTCTGACTTTGATATACAAGCAAAGTGACTGAATTTTGATACCTACTTATACGCCCTGTTGAATACATATGAATATATCCTGTAAGATACATATGAATAGAAACGGTAGATTAAGCATGAATACTTATGAACAAAACAACGAAACATAGATTGAAAAGTTGCAATGGTCATATATGAACATTGTTGATAAAGTGATTAAAACATGATTTTTTCTAACTGAATACCATCTTCACCAAAAAACTATTCAAAAAATAGTATTCACCTAAAACAACCTTCCAAAACTACATTCACCTAAAGCTACTATAACATTATCTACAACTTTGAATCTGACTCTGTGATTTGCCTAGCAATATTTGTGGGTGCTTCATTCTCGCTTGTGGCATCAGCTTCTATCTTCCGCATAGCATAGTCCCAGAGGAGAGCACCATATCTTTGACGGAGTAGATTGGAATCAAATTTTGTTTATGGAACCTCACCAAGAGTGCTCAGAAACTATGCGTATGTCGCAACATGCACCCCACAATCCCTGAAAAATATTGATTGAAACAATTAAAAATAATTGATACAATTAGAATTTTAAAATGATACAAGCATGATGATTGAATACATACATGCTCCCAGCTTTTTGTTGAGGCAGATTTGATATGAAAACAACTTCAAAGGGATCAGTACGTGACTTGTCAGTGTATGTTGAGTAAGTAGACCAATCTATGCCTTGACTATATCTGTAAAAGCCACTAATTGATAGATACAGAGGTACAAGCTTAGCAAGCTTATATATCTCAGAAGCTACATAGGCATCATGACATGCAGATCTGTACGAGTCATACACTTTGATACATCTCTCCTTGAATGAGACCGCAACCAATATCCAGTGTAGTTTGTCCTTCAAGTTGACTGGTATCAAGACATTATCAACAGTATGTCAAGGTACATTAGCTAGCAATCTATAGCCCTTTATGTACTCACATACCACATCCTCTTCTTTGGCTACGTTTGCATTACTATCTGTATCAGCATACCTGTCAAAGATTTCTGCGATTCTTGTCTTGAATATACAATCAACAGTTGTATACTTGAAGTTGGTTGTTTGGTTGTACTTTCCTTTCTTTCTCAAATAGTAGAATATGATGTCAATATGCTATATACAAATTTAATAACATAGTGTTAGTACAATAAATGAAATTAAGGAGAAGAAACTGAATATAATAAGTGAATACTTAGTTAAATACATCATACAGATACTGTTAAATAAATCTGTTATTAAAGCTACTGAGTACTGTTAAAATACATCTGAATACAATTAAATACATTTGTTATTCAAGACAAATGAGACCATTAAATACATCATACATATTCAGTTAAATATATCTATTATTTACAATTACTTAGTACTGTTAAAATACATCTGAATACAGTTAAATACATCTGTTATTAAAGCTACTGAATACAGTTAAATACATATGTTATTAAAGCTACTGAATACAGTTAAACACATGTGTTATTAAAGCTACTGAGTACTGTTAAATACATTTGTTATTCAATACAAATGAGGCTATTAAATACATCATACGGATTTAGTTAAATACATTTGTTATTCAATACAAATGAGGCTATTAAATACATCATACGGATTTAGTTAAATACATATGTTAGTTACAACTACTGAGTACTGTTAAAAATACATTTGAATACAGTTAAATACATTAGATGTGAAAGATACATCTGAGTACAAATTTGTGTGAGAGCTCAATTTGTGAATTATACAATTAGACAAACCAATTCTAAAGAAATAAATTATAGTGGAGTTTGAAGGGTTAAAACTTAAATGGTCATACCATAGTTTACCGTCAAACGATCGAAGGTAAAACCAATTTTTTGAATTGACTTGATCAATTCCAAAATCCAATGGTATATGAAGTGTTGACTTGTTCTTCTTGTAATGGTATTCCAAATTACTTCTACAAGTATGATATAAAAAAATATTATATCCATTTTTAAATATATAAATACATAATAGACATACCGGGGAACAAAATCACTTCTGTTCATGTCTAGTGAGAAGACCATCACGAACTCATTTCTCGTATTCCTGAATGATCAATGTAGGATGTGGCCCCGTTATTGAATCATCCTCAAAGGGATGTCTTTTTTCAAATATGGGGGTCAACTTTACTGAGGTACCTATTGTTCATTGAATTAATGAATAAAGACTAAACATTATAAATACCATGGGGAAATAGATCATAAGTTTATAAAACACTAACCTGCGGAGTCGAAGTTAGACTCGTAAGGTGAAGAATACCATCTACTTGGTCGCCAATTCCTATGAGATGGTAATGGGGTTGATTCAACATTTTTTGCACTATTGTGTATCACAATTCTAGTTTCTAAAATTTGACTTGCAAGAAACTTGTTGTCCAGCTCAAATTGCGATACATAGTAATCTGTAGATACACCCTCTTGGCCTATAGGTGGTATGTTGCACGGCACCTCCAATGGAGTATTCCCCTCCACTCTTGACTCCACACAAAGAGCATTACCCATTGTATTCTGTTAGACGTATACATCAATGTTAGTGTATTATAAATGACCTATATACTTATAGTAACTAACTGTATGAATACATCTAACTACATATAAAGAGAATAAGTATTTGATCTTGAATTTGTATTTTCTTGAGGCTGTATTTAAGTGAAGAATTTAAATACATCAGACTACATGTTAAGAATATATCTAAATACATATAAATACAGTTGTTATTTGAGGCAGTATTTAAATGCATCTAACTGCTGTGTAATAACACTACTATATAGAGGAAGCTTAAATATATACAAGTATCATATTTTAATATATATGAATACATCTAGATACAACATGCGAAGATCACAATAATTATGAATAAATAAAGTCAGGAAAATACAAATGCATATAGGATTAAGATAATTAAAAATACTAAAATATTCTGTATATACTTGTATTTCATAATGTTACAAATTGTTTTATATATGATTAATCCGAATAAGAGCAAACAGGAGATATAAACATACACTAATGAGGTTAAAAAATGTTAAACCTCAACATTATTGCCGACAGCTGTATCAGTCTGTTTGTGACCTTTTGGAATATCTTGTACGTTGGCATCATATGACATTTCAATACCATCATCACGTCTCCCTGCGGCTTCCTTTCTCTGGTGTAAACTTTCTTTTTGCTGATTATCTTGAAGATGGCCAGAAAGCATCTTAAAGTTATCATTTATCAATGATCTCAGAGACTTGAACTCGCCCACAACATTAGCAAGAAGTAAATAATTAGGAAAGTGCGCCAACAATATACGAATGTTAAGCACTAAACTGTAGTGTTTAATATGTGGATAAAAAACTCACATATTCTTTGAATGAATTTAGGTCTTTCCTCAAAGAAGATACTTCATCATTTTTGGAATCTACTGGTTGATTGTGATGTTCAACATTTTATGCAATTTCAGATACACCAACAAGATGAATCTTGGATTGAGTCTCTGTATTTGAGGGGTGAATAATCTGTTCTTTGCACATTTTATGGGGCGCTGATGAAGATGGATCAACACCTGCAGCATGTTTCTTCTTACACTGAAGATCAGGTGTAGGAGAAAAGTCATCCGAATCCTCTGTCGACTTGTCTGAATGAGTAGGAGTAGGACTGTTCTCAACAGCAATGCCTACTGGAGGAATTTGAATAATGGCAAACTCTATATCGGTTGGATGGATGTCCTTGTAAACAATCTGAAAAACGAAATACAATCAAAGTCTTACTACAATGGATATATGCAAATCTGGAATTTAAATGTAATTTGTATTCAAATGAAGGCAGCAGTAATGATTAGTAAATTATATGGAACTGTATGCAGTAGTAATAATGAAGGCAACAACAACTGTATTCAACTATATGCAGATGTATGTAGCAGTAACTGTATGCAGCAGTAATGATTAGTGAATTATAAACTAGCCAGGATACAAATTGTAAATTACCATGTTTCCCTTGTCATTGAACATGTTGTTCATCAGATAAGCAAAGTTTGGCTGACATTTTGTGGATATCCAATTGAGTATTTTGGGGACCACGTTATTAACTCGGAGTGCAATTTTGGGATCAACATTTGAACAGCACTCATAAAACCACACTTGCATAGCTAGAGGCATCCCAGCTATCCTGAGCATTTATCTTCTTCTGAGTATCCATCTTCTTGCTAATAGATTTTGTCAGGCTTTCAAATGCTTTTATACCCCATGGATATTCAGAATAACGCCCATTCTCGACCAAGTCAAAATGTAGCCTAGGGATGGTTGTGATGTTCTTCTCGGATGAAAAAATGAATGTGTGTATTAAATACAACACAACTATCTTTAAGGCATCCCCATCGTTGTCGTAACCTCAATTCTTGTCAGCAAAGCATTTCAACAAATCTTTCTTTTTTACAAGATTGGCACCTCCAAAGTAAGTCTCAATAATCCGGTTAGAAACCTTTTCATTGAACTGAAATCAGCAGTGTTACCAACACATTTGAGGCTAGTCTCAAGCGCAAACTCCCTTATTGAGAAAGATAATGAAGTACCATTGACGTGTATTGAAAATACATCGTCAGGACTTCCATCTAACTGGAGAGCCATGAAGCATCTGAAGAGTTAATGTTGGACTTCACAACGCTTTATTTGAAGAAAAATTCCAAAACAAGTATTACCCAGTTGTTTATACTGCTCTGGAGTAAGATTTTCTTTTAGCTCGGAGACTATCTCTGTGTTAGTATATACACTGATATGCGGTGCAAATATAGGTTGTTTTTCACAAACAGCTTAATTCCCTGCATTTAACAAGAATAAATACATATAAATATAACTGAATACACCACATATTTCATAGTACAACTGATATGAATACATATGAATACAACTAAATACAAACTGCAAAAATAAACTGGAGTAAGATATCAGTGATAGAAATATATGTACACATAATACGTACGCATACAACAAATAAAGACATTGCAATTAGAATAAAACAGTGATGAGAACTTTGAAAATCCTTATAAATACAACTATATGCAATATGAAAAGGTCAGTCTATTAAGGTAAAAAACAGTGAAAGAACTATTTGAATACATCTAAATAAATCTAAAATGCATTATGCAACATACAATTCAATAAAAGTCAATTTGCATACATCAGAATACATATACATATTTGTATCATTGATATCTTTAAGTACAAAAATACATTGAATATCCTTTTAGAATAAATTTAAATACATGTACATGTATTTATATACATAAAAAACAGAGAAGTCAACAGGTTTATACATATAAATACATATGAATACATCAACAGTACAGATGAATACATCAGAAATTACCTTTTCTTCCAGTGTATCCGAGCTTTTACTTGCTTCGACCTCCTTCCTCTTGACAGATGAAGCTTCAGAAATATGTTTTTCCCTCTTTTTCGCAATGGGAAGTCTTGTTTCCTTCAATGATTTTTCAACTTGGGTTTCTTTGAACCTGTCATGGCGAGATTTTGTTCTCTTCTCCAATACCATATTTTTAGCTAAACCTGCATCCAATTCCCCTTGAGTGATTTGCAAGGAGAAAGAGGGCCCATCGAATGTCAAAATTTTAGTGGGTATACCTCTGGTAATCAACTTGCAGGGTGTTGAATAAGACATTGTGAGGATACGCTTGGATACTGTTGATTAGAGAAAACTTGGTGAGTAGAGATGTTGAGAATAAACAAAAATAGCGAAAATCAAAAAAATTAAATACTTACCACACTAATTATAGAAACAAATGACAACAATAGAGAGAAAATTAGGGTTTATACCGAGATTGGGGAAGAAGGAAGCGGTGTGGGTGACAGGTTTCTCTGGTTTTGGGCGAGTTTACAATGAATGGGAAAAAGAATAGAGTGTATCAAAATAAGAGAGAGAAAGAACGTGTATTGAGAAGTTTTAATGAAATACGGTAATTATGAGAGAGAAAAATCTTAAAAGGGAGAGAGAAAAACAAAAAAATAATGTGCTTAGTATTTAAATAGTATTTATTTAATATAAATAAGGTGTTAACCTTTGCTATATGAGGTAAAAATTCCTATGGTTTATAAATGGTAAAGAGCATTACACTCAGTTTAAATTGGTGGGAGTACAACACGAACCTTGTATGAATTACACCATTTAAAAAGATTTAAAAAGACCTGGCGTAAAAACACACGAGTTTGTCGTAGAGACCAATTTTGGATTTAGAGTTAGTGTGTTCAAAAATATTGCGATCTTATAATATTTTATTTATTTTTAAAAGTTTCTTACGCATACATATTCGTCCTAAATTCACCCTTTAAAGGCAACAACCAAAGGTAGCTAGGGAGCCAAAGCACTGACTTTTTATGTTAAATCTCGCTATTGAAGAGTGAGATTTGAGCTCCTGAATGTATCGAAGAAGAGAAGGTCGATCCTAGAAGGGAACTCTCAATTGTATTAAAAACTCTAATGAATCATTTACAAAGCCAAGCTATATATATATATATTACACGTTTTGGAAGCTAATTAACTTAATCTATTAGCTAGCTAACTAACATAATTAACTAGGCTAACATTACACAACTGTCATCCTATAGCATGCGCACCCACTAAGCCGTGAAATTCACAGCTGTCACCAGCTGTTATCTTCTTCATCTCAATACCCCCCCCCCCCAAGCTAGGTGCTGTAA